TTCTGACTGTGTATGTGATTTGTGGACGAGCGGTTATGGACGAGCGTTCGCTTCGTTGGACGAGCGTCCTCTTCTGCCTGACTGGGCGTTCGCTTCGCTGGACGAGCGTCCTCTTCTGCCTGACTGGGCGTTCGCTTCGCTGGACGAGCGTCCTCTTCTGCCTCGCTGGACGAGCGTCCTCTTCGCTGGACGAGCGTCCTCGTCGCTCGTCCACAAACGCTCGTCCACAAATCACATACACAGTCAGAAAAACGTTAGATTTATAACGGCGTTAAGTGGGTAGGATTCAATTGATACAAATTTCAAAACATAGGTATCAAATGCCTACATTTTTAAAACCGGGTACTAAACAGCAAATTACCTCCGAACATGGGGACTAAGTAGGTAATTAAGCCTNAGAGAAAAGGAGAGGGGGGAGGGGGTGGGTGGGTGTGTCGTGCGTCGGAGTGAGGGTAAGGAATTAGGATTTTTAATTAAAAGTATAAAAAGTTAAGGGTAAAAGTAAAAAAAAATTTAACATAAGGATATTTTTGAAAAAAATGATAAACTAGAGAGGTGGAGGAAGAAGGCTGTGGTGGTGGAGAGAGTAAGTCTCCATTTTCAACTCATGAATTTGAACCAACTCGGTCTCCCAAGCTCGTAAGCTCGACAAACTAGTCTGCAGGTTAGTTGGACCAACCTGGCAATTCGGTTGAAGTATGATATAACATGACCAAAATTTGAAACAACTCAACTAAAGTTTGATATAGCCCGTCAAGATTTGAAACAGGACGATAGTCCTTTCAATTCAAAAACTCAACATGTTTTCATGAAAAAAAATAAAAAAATTCAACTTGTTATGATAGAAAGAAAAAAGCGAACAACTCGCCAACCAGCAAGCCTGACAATAGGTCAAGTCAAGGATTAAAGTTTAAGGGTGTTGCTCCCTCCACCACCACACCTTTCTCCCTCCACCTCCCATTTACTATTTTGCTCCTAAGTAAAATTTTATTTTTAGGGTTATTTTTTAATTTTATCCATTCACAACCTATTCCACTAATAACCTATTCTAGTGCCCCATACACGAGTAAAATATTTTTCTTTCATTTTAACATTATATTTCTTCCTCTCTTTCTTTTACAAGTTACAAAGGTTGGTGGTGGTGGAAAGAATTATCAAGCAGTCTCCCTCTCGTAGTGCAGTGTCGCTCTCGTAGTGCAGTGTGTGGAGTGGTGCAATGTGTGTTGCTTCCTCAAGGTGCGTATTCAAATAAACCTTCAAATAAAACCCTAAAATAAAAAACGTAACCTTTAAGACATCCTTCAACGGATGTCAAAATCCTTCAACGGATGTCAACATCCGTTTAAGGTAAAACGGATGTCGACATCCGTTTTTCCTTAAACGGATGTTGACATCCGTTGAAGGATGTCACTTCCGTTTAAAAGTTACGTTTTTTATTTTAGGGTTTCTTTTATTAGTTTATTCTTTATTTTGGAAATATTTTAATAATTTAATTTAAATGTTTTGATTTATTATTTTTGAATATATTTTTAATGTATTTTAATAATGTAAGGAAAATGAAGAAGAAAGAAACGGAGGAAGAGAAGTGAAACGGAGAAGACAGATTGGGTTGCAGAGTAAAATGAAAGACAAATTATTAAACGAAAATGAGAGACGGAAATATTGGGTGCATGAGTAAAGTAGGAGAACTAGGTTTGAAATAAATTAAAATAGTAAAAGTAAAAAATTTTAATCTGAGGATATAATTAGAATTAAAATAAATTAGGGAGGTGGAGGGAGAAAAGTGTGGTGGTGGAGGGAGCAACACCCAAAGTTTAATCCATTTTCAATTATCAAGCCGACCTAATCCATTTTTGATTGACCAATGTCGGATTACAGGCCGAGTTTCTCCATTTTGTCATTCCTAGATTATTTTACGAGTGTTTCATCCTACACCTCCAAGTCCTTCACACTACACCTTCAAAATTTTATAAAAATGTCCATATTATCCTATAATTAAAACGTTTTTAATATTTAAAAGTAAAAAAATTAAGATGGTGTAAGATTCTTTTTTAATTACAGTAGCAGCAGCATTTGTTAGTGGTGCATTGATATTCTCTCGGATATCATTTCCATTCTCGTGCTTCCTTCCCCATGCTTTCTCTCTTTTTTTTTTTTTGCATTGTAGCACACAGAGCACTGCTTCCTATGCTTTCCTCTTCCTCTTTTCTTATCTTTACATTGGTTCGTAGTCGCACTGGAGCCACACAGCCCAACCTGAAAATAACTTCTGCCTCTGTACTAATTTTTCACTCTAATATTCCTTTCCTCTAACACCCAATTATCACCCACGCTCACATCACTTTACCTCCTCATTTGCAGCAACCCTGGAGCTCCTCTTCCACATTTGTCTTCACTGGTGAAACACCATCTTCTTTTTTTCCTCAACTTACTTCCATTAAAAACACTTCCCAACAAACCCCTGGCCTATTTGTATTCATACAGGGTTATACTTTTCGTAACCCAATCATAAACCACAACGACAGACTTATATAACATCACAAAGCAAACACCACCATCCAACACAACATCCAAACTCATTATATACACCACGTAAAATCATAAGGAGATCCCATTCTTAGTCTATCGGATATTGACAGATCACTCCCTAATAGGATTTCCATATCGGATAAATATCTTCACAATTTACTTTTCAAAAATATTTATATTAAATCTACAAAATTCATAAAAATTACTTTTTAACAATTAAAAATTATATTATTAAATTATAAATCCATAAAAATTGTTACATAAATTTAAATATAATTATAAATTAATAAAATAATTAAATAAGTAATATAACAAAACATTTATAAAAGAAAATTGGATTATGTAAATCGAAATACCAGTCGTCATCGGATATCGACGTCCGATATCCGTATAATCGGATTTTCATATTCAATACGCAAAGTTAAGTTTTATTTTTAAAATAGTTTTATTAATTTTAGTAAATTCATACAAATTAATTTATAATAATTAAAAATTATATAAACTAATTATAAACTAATATAATAATAATTAAATAAGCAATATAATTTAAACATTTGAAGAGAAGAGAAAAGATTATAAGAGATGGAATTCAAATGAGATGCAATATGGTGTAGAATTTTTTAACTCATGAGAAAACGGGTGCAGGGATGTAGGACTACATGGGAAAAAAAATGGATGTAATTAATGAGGTGTAGTTAATGCACAAACAAAAAATTAATAAATAATTTTCTTATTAATTAGGAGTATTTTAGAAAATTAAAGGTGAATGTGATGGACTTGAAAGTGAGGGTGAAACACCCTCATTTTACACACCACAACTAATTTTTCTATTTCTTTTCTTTTCTTACCTCTTGTTTTTCTTCTCTTTATTTCTGTACTGAATGCAACATATAAATTATTGCGTGGTAAGTGCATTATGATAGATTGCAACTCTGTTTTTAATATTCTGAAAATTTGCCATTAGATTAGTGCAATACAATATAATATGTGTACATGATTTTATATATGTATATTGACTGAGTTGATTATCAATGCATTCTAATAATACTGATTTTAATTGTGTTTAGTGTACTATTTTTGGTAAAAGTTTTCAATTGTTCTAATACAACAAAACAACTATAAAAAAAACTGAAAGTATATAAAAAACAATTATTAGATAGGATTATATTTTGGGTTTAACTTTAAAAATTGAAACTATCCAGACGGAACTTATTCATGTGTATTATTTTATGCCTCTAATGTTTCGTATACTATTTTTTATATATCTATAATGTTGTTATGTGAATAATTTATATTTAAATAAAAATAGGTTATATTAACTGTTTGAGTAAATGTGCACAGATATACATTTTTAGATATTTAAATTTATTTTAATGGTATATGTTTACCATTTTCCACACAATGACTTATACACGAGTTGTTTGATATTTTGTACTATTCTTTATCATATTAATAACATATTCTACTTATTTAATATTTTCTCCAAAAAATAATAAAAATAAGATTAAAATTGAAAAGTTAAAACTTATCTAGTCCAAATTGCTTAGAATTGAATTTAAATTTTCAACTATACTAACTAAATAAAATATAAAGATCACATGATTATTTTCCTTTCAAAAATAATCAAATACATGAAACTTCTAATTCTTAGATTAATATATTTTTACCATATTATAGGAGTGAACTATACAATAACTTTTCCAATAGCATATCTCTTACGAAAACCTTGATTAACATTTGAGAATTTTCGTTATTAGCAATATACTAATATATAATTTGAATAAACTTCCATGATTACTATCACATTCTTTTAAAATACTCATGGTCAACATTCTGTAGTTTGAATAATGGATTTGCATTGTAGGAATTTAAAAGGACTTCTTGAATTTATAGAATTTAAAAGAATTCAATAAATTTTTAGAAAACATTCAAAATTACAAGTAAACAAATAAACAAAAAGGACAAGGTTCGGATGAACCAATAAATATTTTTAATCTTTTAGTGTCTAATTGGTCTACCTTTATGTACTCCTGCACTGCACCTCTGTACATTAACATCTTTTTTATTATTATTTTTTTTGTTTGACTAATAAATTAAAAACTATGGTGTTGTGTATGAATAATAAATTCAGAAATAGAATTGACAAGAGTCCCAAAATCAAACCACACTAGCTGGAACTCTAGCACAACCAGTATCAGCATCTTCTACCCTTCAACCACTAGAGCTAGTTGATCTCATCAGAACACACTTGTATCCAAGCTCTAGAAAGCCACCACATCTTGGTAAACGTTGGTGACAAAGCCGACAACTTCTTATGTTGCTCGATGATGACCATTGGTGTCTGTCTGATTTGGACTGAATGGAGGAAGGTAGCCTTGGTTGAGCTTCTGAGGCTTTCGTGATTTTTGAAGTGAGGCTTTTAAGAGATGGAAGAGTTTGATAGACACAAACGTTCCAGTCGCAATGCAGGATTTTACAAGCGAGAAAAAGATCACATTATATCATTTAATGACTTTTCATCTAAAAATTCAAGTTATAAGTCAAAAAAAGGAAAACATGATACAAGAAGTTCAATAAAAATGTGTATACTCTAGGCATTAAGTCCTGGAGCAGATCAAAACGGCTAAGTATAGGCCAGGTTCATCCACAAATTCAGCTACATCAAAAGAGTGAGCTGCTGCAACACTTTGCAAATATGTTTTATCAGGTATGTCAGAAACCACTACATCTGGGTACTGTTGTCGTTGCTGTTCTAATACTTCTCTCCCTTTGGGATGACTGATAATCACTCTTCCACCTACAGGTCCAATCCGAAATTAAATACAACAACAACTTGGGAGCACTGAGCTAAACTTCACAAGGAGATAATATTGACTAAGAATAAGAAAAATAACATGGAAAAGTAAGAAAATCCATCAATTTACTGTGCAATACAGTCTAGTATACATTCAACTAGCAGAATAAAAATAAAAGTTACACATTTATAAATTATCATCTAAATAACACATAGTCATAAACATAGTCTCTGGCCCTCGTCCGAAATTACTCAAACCTTGGTGAACGACAAACTTTTTGAAACACAACATCATGTTTGGTGTTTGTCTCAAAAGCAAATAGAATGACTGCTCATGCTTGAATGAAGTTCAAATAAATAATTAAAACTATAGAAGAGCTATCAAGCAGCGATACTCTCTAACACACTACAACTACATTCTTCCCATTGATTAAAATTCTTTAAAAACTACAAAATAATGAGTAGAGGCATATCAAATAAGAAATTAAGTCTTGGTTAGATAAATTTCTTGGTAATCATAAATTAGAAAATGAATTAAAAAGCTAAATCAGATTAAAAATCCTCCCCAAGTTAAAATTAGCTTATAAATCACTTAATGTATAAAAGTTTTCTTACGTAACTTCTTCAAAAAATGACTTTTAATTTAGGATACAAATTCGACCCAAATGTCAATTACAACAAACCGCATGCTTGAAAGTGTTTCATAGGGCGGTGCTAACATTTCTGAGAATGTAAACAACCAAAGCAGCTTTGTTGGGTTTCCTACCCCACAACACGTAGCAATATGCCATAAAAGGAGGAAACTATTAATCGGTAGCAATTATAAAGTTGTCATAATTGAAGAGAAAAATAACCTGGAGCACATTTCCCAGCCAAAGATCCGAGAATTTGGTCAAGCTTGAAGGGTAACGCGGGAAGAAAATAAAGGAAAACAGCATCAAAAGGAGCCCACTTTTCCGGAACATGTACAATCTCTCCTTGCCAACACTTAACCCTGTCATATTTCTCTTTGATGCAGGCCAACACCAGAAGCGAGTCATGGACAACGAACAGAGAGGAAGTCAACCCCACCAAGGAATCCACAAAGTCTTCTGACCCAGTTGAAACCAAAACCCTCGAACCCTCTTGGACCTTCCCCGCAGACACAATGCGCTCCACGCTTCGCTGTTCGACGCAATCAAGCACGGACCAGTCCTTCTCCACGATTTCTGGGATGGAAACAAAAGACGCCCCCTCCGGCAGAGAAATGGGGGCGTCGATGTTCGAGTCAGTGGCTCGCCGCAAAGAGGGTTTTGGTGTGAGAGAAATTGGAGAGAGAGTGAGAGCAGTGGAACGGAGATTGTGCGTAAAAGGTTGGTGCTTGGATTGAAGAAGGGAATGGAAGTTGCATGGTGGTGAGGGTATGGAAAGGAAGGAAGTTAAAGAAAGTGAATTCATGGAAGAAAAAACAGAGGATTTTGGAAGTAGAAAAGGATAGAATAGAGAGCATAACAGAACAGAGCACACCAGAGAAGAGCAAAAGACTATTGAATTAGGGTCTACATGCTTGGTGGAATATTTTTAAAAATAATATGTCTAAATAAAATACTCACAAAATTAACTTTTAAATTTTTTAGTAAAATGGCTTTCTAATTTCTGAAAATTAGGTCAAAGTTTAGTTTAGTATCCTAAGTTTGAAAATAATCTTTTTTAAGTCATCAAACTCTCCCTCCCTCGTAAACTCGTACGTTTTCACGACTTCCGAGTAAATTTGAAAATAAACTCTTTCTGTGTAAATTCGATAGATTGTGAAATCAATAGAATTGTGTCGCGAATTTAGAGCGATTCTGCGATCTTAAAAATTATATATTTAATTAAATGTATCAAAATTAATGACAATAATATAAATATTTATATTTTACAATATTTAGTTTTATGAACAATATAACTATAAATCTTATTTATATAATTTTGTAGACTTATTTAAATTAAAATATTATTTATACAATTTTTTTTCATCTGAAATAAATTTTTACAAGTTTACAAGTTGAGTTTACGAATCGAATTTATTCAACTCTCACAAATTTATGTAAACTCTCGAATTTGATAACTTTGATATATAGTTTAAAAATATATGTATGACTTATGTTTTATTCGACTCTTTTATGTAAAAATAAGAAAGGAGTAAAATTAAAAAAAAAATACCCATAACATTTGAGTTAACCTTTTTTATTTTCATGTATAAATTTTAACCAACTTTTTAGATAAATTATCGAACAATATTTTTATGATGAAATATTTTTTATTTTACAATTTTAAACGTTAATATATAGTGAAATGAAAAAAACATTATGCTCATACATTCTAGTTATTAACTATTTTACTCTCTAACTAAAAATTTAAATTTAAGTAAAAACTGTATTCATATTTCAGAATGATTAAATTTGTTTTCTTAAACTAAACATGTATTTACGTTCACACATTTTCCATGATGTAAACTTTAAAATTAAAATAAACTATTTCAAAAATAAAATACTTAAAATACCACTTTTATGTTTGAAACTAAAAGTATTTTAAATATGGAATACTACTAACAAGTATTTTTAAATTTGAGACTCAAAACATAAATTTTATATTTAAAGAAATATAAAATTATTTTTAAATTTGGAGGACTAAAATAAAATTTTATCCAAAATTTTGAAATTAAAAACTTACTTTAAAAAAATATATTAAAAGAGTGCATTTTTATATTATTGTTTTAGTGACATATGTCATGATGTGAATATTACTAGTCACGTTAACAACAATAAACATATTCACGTTATAAATAGGATAAATAATTTCTTTTTATGAAATTTAGAAATTACAAAAAAAATATTATTTTAATCTAAAGAACTAAAAAGGTGATCCAAATTTAAGACAAAAATATATTATTTAGATGACTAAAATTAAGAAAAAAATTAAAAAAAAAATTCTCTTTGTTTATTTAAACAAAATAAAAATATAAAAATGAAATAAATATATTAATAAAAAATAATTAAATATAATAATGTAATCTAATGATTTTTATTGGTATAAAATTGTTTGTTATAGTTTTTTTAAAGTATATTATATTTTGAAAAAATTAAACTAAATCTTTAAAATAATTTTTCTTTCCTTTCCTTTCATTTTGATTATAAGGAAAATGTCTCCAAACAAATATTATGTTGTATCTAAATATCTATCATGATGTATGTTATGTAAATATGTTTTGATGGCGCATGCATCACAAATACACAGCTTTCCAAAAATTGACATCAATACTTCATTGGTATGGTTTAGTCTAGTCTAATTATTGAATGTTAATATGTTTATTATTATAAATGAATGATATGTAGTAGCATTACATGAGTAATATTCAAAAATAAATATTTATATAATAATTTAATAAAATAATTATAACTTTATGCATGACATGAAAATTTTAAATTTGAAAATAATAATAATTCTATTTAAGAACTAAAATAATAATTTATTAGATATTAAATGACCGAGAATGAATATATTATTATTTTTGCGGTAAATCAATTTAAACATAAATTAAATTGATAAAAGAGTAAAATAATTTGTTAGAGGAACAATATTTTATGTAATAGTGCAAACAAATTTATATATATATATATATATATATATATATATATATATATAAAATAATATTATTTTAAAAACTAAAAATAAAATATATTTTTCTAAAATTATTTTTATTAATGAACAAATAATTATAAATCATAAAAATAAATTAAAAATGAAAAAATAGTATTAGAAAAATTAATACTCTGAATATAAGTTATTTTAATTTATTAAATTACCAATTAATTAAAAGCTATAAAAAATAAAATTAAAAATGAAAAAATAATATAAAAGTAAAATAAATAAAAAAAGGTAAAGTTTTATGTATATGATGTGACAGTAAAATAAATAAAAATAAATAAATAAATATATAAAAAGATAAAATAATTTTAATGTACATGTGACACTAAAAGAAATATAAATAAAAAATAAAAAATAACTAAAAATCCAATTATTAAAACACTTATAAAAGAATAAACATAAATAAATAAAATAAAGTTTTTAATACCCCATTTTGCTATGATATGTAACAGATTATGTAAAAATTCCAAAATCTTTACCAACTTAGGTAAAGGTAACTTATACCAACTTAGGAAGCCTAAGATCTTAAAGAGAACAACCATCGATTTTCTCTCTCACATCGATTTTCTCTCTCACGCGAATTTGAATTTGAAAGTCTGAAGCTTGTTTAGGGTTTTCACTGTTGAACTGAACTTGTTTGTCTTCTTTCTCTTTCATTGATTTATTTTTTACAGTTGTTGAATTTGGTCGTCTTTAGCTCTGGTTGGATATATGCTTGTATTGTGGTACTATTTATTATTTTGTGAATTGTTTTTACAGTACTTTGGAATATTCAATTCATATACAAACTTTACAAAACTTAAAACAAAAGAAAGATACCTTTTCTTAGAATTCTCCAACAAAACCAATCGACAAATAATTTAGTTCTACTCAATTGTGGAAGTTCATCATAAAAGAAAATATTTGAATTATAATTCTTTTTACTTGCAACAAATGCAATTCAAGTTTATTATGCCTTATCTTGAGAAAAATTTAAAAAGGTAGGTTGGTGTTGTCTTGAAAATCAAAGCAAAAGAAGTATGATTAATGATCTCTATACATTATATACATTAAATGCTGTGTACAAAATGTGGTTTCTAATACTCAACTTTGTGCTAAAAGATGATGAACTAGGTCAATTAAGAGACAGTAAAGGTGGATATGAAAAATTAAAAGAGAAAGAGCTAGAATTGTTAAATATGGAGCTATGTCCCCTTATCTGTATAAGATCAATATTATCTGTATAAGATCCGTAGTAAAAAAGTTGGCTAACGGAGGATGTGTGTGAAATGGAAATATAAGATAGTTTAGCATTTGAAAAATCTCTATTCTTTGTATTTCTTTTCTTCTTTAATGTAAGCTAATTTTACACTGGTCATTTTCATATGCTTACTACGTTACAAACTTTATTTGTTGTATATACTATTATGGTTTTCATGATCTTTTTTTGTTATAAAATCATATGAAATTTCTAACACTTTTTTTGTGTGGAATTTATATGGAGAACAGAAATTATTTCAAAAAGTAGTTTAATAAAGTATAAACTCAATCAAATACCAAGTAGCACACTTGGAATGCAGCTTAGACATCCAATACCTGAGACACTTGGAGAACATTTTACTCTTCATTTTGGTTAGCCCTTTCCAAGACTTGGAGCAACTTCCAGTTCCACTCTTTTTTTTTTATCATAATTAACACATGGATCTCTAAATAATGGTGATTAATCAATATTAACACTTAATGAATTTGTGTAAATCACTTCAATTTAATCATGCTAAGTGCTGGATTATTAAACTCTCTTCCTATGTAGAAAATAGGTCCAAATAATGTAGACTATTTCACTCTATTTTAATAAAGATGAATCAGAATAATAAATAACAGAAGACTTAATTTGAAGAAAAAAAAAATAAAGTGAGAGAGAAAGAAAGAAAGTCTTTTTCGTATAACACAACTTGCACTAGTGTTTTTTTCATTGTGAAGTTGTTCACCATTGGATCAGGCTGATTTTTGGATAGTGGGTTCCAGACATATATGGTTCATTATTCTTATTGTTGGAATTGTCAATCGAAGGTCTAGTTTGGTAAAAAACAACATCACATCAACTACTCTGTCTTGGAGAATTTTCATGTTCTTTGTTTTCATTTATAAACATTTACGTTTAGTTAGTTTGACTTATTGAAAACATCATTTGGTGTTTTTTTTATTGGAAATTCTTTTCTACCTTATTATTGATCATAGTGATTTTTTTTGTTTGGATGACTTGTGGTTTTTATTTTTATATTGAGTGATTTTTCATGTTAAAAATTGTTGGTGTCTGCTTTGAATTATGTTTTTTCTCTATTCGTTAGGTACTTTTCATAAATTGTCAAAAGAAGGAAGATTGAATTTTCACTATATTATTACTATTTGGTAAATTGTTATAATTTTTGAACAATTTTTTTATAAAAAAAATAAAAAAAAATAAAAAATAATATAAAAAAAAAATAAAATAATTAAAGAAAATAATAAAATAATATAAAAAAAATAATGTTGATGATAAAATCAACAACAAATAAAAAAAAGAAACACAAAAATAAAAAAAAAAAAAAAATAAAATTAATAATGGCATGTGGTTCAAATAATTCCTTGTATGTATTATATGAGTTAATAATTTGTTATTATGTAACTTTTCTCTTTTTGTAGCTTTAACTTGTTTTATTTAGTATATAGAAAGTATACTATTTTTCATGATCATAGGTGGACAACAAGGAACTTTAAAACGCTGTTATTCAAACTAATTAAAGAACAATCTAAATAAGCCTGAAATTACAAAGAAGAAACCAAACTGGCTTGTAAATTTATGGGATACCTTATGCCAAAATTGAGAATGAACAAAATTGAAACTAAAAAAATAAA